AAAAGAAAAGAAAAAAGGTTGAGGCCAGGAAGATGGCTTAGTGGAATAAGTGCTTGCCTGACAAGCGCAAGGGCCTAAGTTCAATCCCTAGTTCCACAAAAAAAAAAAGAAAAAAGAGAAACGTTCATAAGAATATAGTGCTCTCTCACATATTTTCTCACTTCATCAGTGAGCAGGATATTTACAAATGAAATTAAGGCCAAGGAAGTTTAAATGGTAGAACTGACATCTGGACAGATTGTGATTTTCAGTACTCTTTCCAGTGTCTCTCCTTGTGTCTCCTGAAATGGCTGAGAAATGAAGTCAAACCTCACCCATCTACAACAATTATAAAAACAGTCAGAATTAGAAAATATGAAAAGAAGGTTTTCAGGTATCTTCATCTAGTTATTCATATAGTGCCACTTGGCAATATGCTCCCCACCCCTTTTTTGGTCTTTTTTTTTTTTTTAAGATGTACTTAAGATGTCCCATTTATTTCTTTATATTTTTATGTATTTAGATCAGGGTCTACAGGGTCTCACTACACAGATCAGACTCACAGTGATTCTGTTTTCAGCCTCGCAAGTGCTGGGATTACAGGCACGTACCACCACGCCCAGTCTCAGTCTCCCCTCAAGCTCCCTCTCGTGCCCCAGGGGTGGGGCCAGGCACAGCTGGGGATTGAACCCTGGCTGCTGCACTCTTTTTAGGCAGCGCTTTAGTCTGCTGAGCTATCTGTTGGTCTTTTTGAGCACCATGCATCTCAGGCTGGCCTTGGCTTGTCTTTTTTTTTTTTCCCCAAGCTTGTGTTGAACTCACAGTCCTCCTGCCTCCGCCTCTGGAGTGCTGGGATTACAGAGTATACCACTACACCCAGTTTATATTGTATTTTTTTAAATCATGAACCTACCTTGATATTTTTTATATTGTTTTCTCCCTTTAAAAAAATTTATTATGTTTTAGTACTGGGAATCCAACTCAGGGGTACTTTACCACTGAGCTATGTCCTCAGCCTTTGTTGTTTATTTTGCAGTACTGGGGATTGAACCCCAGGCCTTCACACTGAAACATCCCCATCCCTTTTTATTTTGAGAAAGCGTCTCCTTAAATCACTAAGTTGCCCAGGCTGGGCTGGAATTTATGATCCTCCAGCCTCTGCTTTCCAGAGTGCTGGGGTTACAGTCATGTCCAGAGACAGGGTCTTGCTAAGGTGATTAGGCTGGCCTCAAACTTTCTCTCATTGTTTTAATGAATTGTCCTTGGGAACAGTTCGTGGCTTGCAGTGCTCAATTTCTTTGTTTCCATGCCTCATTCTGGAGTTTTCCAGGGTTCTCCTAATGGCGAATTTCTAGCTGTTTCAAGACTGGCTAGTTCATGTGCGCAGGGTTCATGTTTTCCCACGTGACTGCTCCCAAATCTTAACCTTTAAGTTGTGTCTTAGTGAGTGAGGCCCTGCCTGCCGTTCTGTAGTCTTCCCAGACTGATCCTAACAGCTTTCAAAATTATAATCTTTGGGGCTGGGGAGATGGCTCAGTGGAATAAGTACTTCCCAGGCAAGCGCAAGGGCCTGAGTTCAATCCCCAGTTCCGCAAAAAAAAAAAAAAAAAATTTATAATCTGAATTTTAGTTGTTGAGGTCAAGAGGAGACATGGCTCGGTTGAGCTGTATTCACAGCGATGAGGTGGTGCTTGCTTGTATGTACCGGAGTACACTACCTCCTACGTGCTACTTCGTGCTATCACCTTCTGCGTGCAGACTTCACGCACATCCACTTGAACGTGAGCAAAGTTCCCTTAATGTAGTGCCACCACCTGCACTAGTAAGTGCCTTCTTGGAATTGATGCTGTCTCCTAACTGTTCCTAACAAGCAGGAATCATTCCCACAGGACGGGTACAGTTTGCTAGACAGAGCATGTGTTGTGTTATTTCAGCATCCTAAAGGAACATTTAAGGCATATTTGTAATTTGTAAATAATGAACCTGCTTATTATAGCATATACACCTAAGTCTTTGGAGACCAATTGTTTTCTAGAGTGAAACTATTTCTAATTTCTGAGAAAGATATTCTTTGACTTTCAAATGGGGGGAGGGCCGGCCAAACAGCTCAGCGGATTAAAGCGCCTGCTTAGGCAGACGCACCGGCCGGGGCTTCCCGCATGCCGTGCCAGTTCCCACCCCCACCCCTCACACACACACCCCGCACACTGACCCAGAGATTGAGATTGGGCGCGGTGGCACACGCTTGTAACCCCAGCTCTTGGGAGGCTGAAAACAGAAGGATCACGAGTCCGATCTACATAGTGAGACCCTGTAGACCCTGTACTAAAATACAAATAAATAAATAAATGTGGGGAAATGTTATGTAGGAGTGTAATCTGTTTAAAGAAGCTTTAAGGGCCGGGGAGATGGCTCAGTGGAATAAGCGCTTCCCTGGCAAGCGCAAGGGCCTGAGTTCAATCCCTGGCTCCACAAGAAAAAAAAAAAAAAGTTCTTAGATGTTGTCCCCTTTAGGGGCTGGTGAGATGGCTCAGTGGTCTAAAGCACCTATTTAGAACAAGTTTAGCAAAGCACAAGGGACCACGGTTCAATCCCCCAGCACCACATGCCAGCCAGGGCCGCCCCCTGGTGGGCTGAGCTGGACACACACATACATAAGTAAATAAAATTAAAAAAAAAAATAAAGAAGCTTTAAGCAAAGCATTTTTTTTTTTTTAAGCATTTTTTAAACATCAAGAAAAATGGGTCTTATTTAGAGCAGTTTCCTTTTGCAGAGATACTGTTTGGCAGCTTCTGAAGGCCCTTCTAACTTTATCATCCTCAAGAGTCGGTGATAGCTGGGGTTCTGGAAAAATAAAGCAGCGCTGCATTTGTATCTACTGTCAGGAGGAAGGAAAATGGCAGTTAAAAAAAAAAAAAAAAGGTTTTATTTCCTCAAGATTTTTTTTCTTCAACTCTTCAAATAAATTTTTTCACCAAGAAACTCAACATTTCCGGGCTCAGCTCTAAAACGAGCTTTTCTGGTTAGAAACCCCGTCAGCCTTTCCCCAGACATGAGAACGCTGGAGCCAGCTGACCGCCTCAATTCCTCTGAGCGTCACAGTTCACGTCGTTACGCACGGTGCTCAGCGTGTTTATAAGCAGGTAAATACATAGCGCTCTTAGTGAAGTCAGTCACTCCCTTAGCGTCAGATCTTTCCGTAATCATCAGATAAGACTTCCTAAGAACAAAAGTGTTAATATTTTTTATATTTTTGAGTAGTACAATCAGACAAACATAGTTATTGCTTATTACGGCTTAATGGATGAAGAATATTTGGTGTTTCAATTATTTGAGTCCTAGAATTAACATATGTGAAATCACTCAGAACAAGTTTTTTTAACTGCAAAGGGTGAAAATCACAAGTGCAGGAAGACCAAATCATAGATTTTACATGGAGTGTCCTATTATATTAGAGTGTATCAGTATTTATCATTTATATGCTAGTTAATATTTGCAGAGTAATGATTGTTTTTCCTTACATATCTTTAAGTAGGATAGTTATCACACTTGCAAGGTAAAGAAATGGAGGCATGAAACAGTTAAACAGCTTACCTAAGATAGGCCTGGGGCCAGGGATATAGCTCAGCAGCACAGAGCCTGCTAGCAAGCGCAAGGTCCTGAGTTCAATTCCCAATTAAAAAAAAAAAAAGATAGGGGCTGGTAAGATGGCTCAGTGGTCTAAAGCACCTACCTAGAGCAAGCTAAGCAAACCACAGGGACCGCGGTTCAATCCCCCAGCGCTATATGCCAGCCAGCCCCGCCCCCTGGTGGGCTGAGCTGGCCACACACACACACACACACACA